TTATCTGCTCACCATTTATGGTACCCAAATTCAAATGCACAGGCCTAACACCCCTAAAGAGCCCTGTAGTGCCTCCTCGAAAAATTACTGTTTTGACGGCTCTTGAACCGCCTTACCGGCTAGGCCTGTTGCTGCCACAGAAGGGTAGTAAGTGATGGCATAATAAACATGTAACATCTATTGAACACCACGTGCATACCTTCATATAATATACTGCATACTATGCATATACATTAGGGTGGCCATTAAATGTAGGAAGCAAATTTTTACATCGGATTTCCTAAGCCTCAACTCACTCTTCATATTAAAAAAAAAAACATAATACACAATTTTTTATATACTAAGACTTCCGCCAAAATAGTTCGGAAAAATATTGACATATGTATACGATACCTCCGAAATTTTTTTTTTTTATAAAGAATACTTCAAATAAAAATTCTCCTCAGATGACATAAAAATGTGTAAAAATTTTATCAACGGAATCAAAATAATGACATTTTCGGAGGTATTTTCGAAGCGGTTTAGCTCATGTAAATACAAATTTGAATTAATTTCATAATTCTGATGGAAAAACTGCAAGTTATTTTTTGGTGAGGCACCCTAGTGTATATTAATGAATTAACTTTTACCAGCTCCACTGTTGCATGACCGTGCACCACACTCGATTGCAGTTATCCTCGCTCCTATTGGGGCTGTTGTTGTGATTGTTTTCCGTTGTTGTTGTTTTTATTGTTGTTGCAGTTGTCGCTCGTTATTTTCGCATGAAAGCGCTGCAAGCAAAGAAAGGTGGTGGTGAATGCAAAGACCAGCACATAAAATGAAACGAATTGAAACGAAATGAATGCTGGCAACGAACGAACGAACCGCAACTAATGCCCGGCGACATGTGCAATTCCGATTAATACTCGTTGATAAACAAGTTATTTTAATTAATCGTTAGGTGTTGCGCTGAAACAAGAAACAATGCAGTGGTGCACTGCCACAGGGACAGTTGGAAATATAAATATGAAAAAAAAACGCAACCAGCTTGTTAGCGAGCAAAATTTGTAATATTGCAAGTTCGCCTGAGTTATTCAATGGAAACGCCAGTGCGTGTATATGTGACATTAAGCCACCGAAGGATCGTAAATTGTCCACGGTCAATAGACGTAAGTACTACTTGTTTTTTCTGCGGATTATATTTATTTGATGGCTTGTCCTATTCAACGCCCACTACGAGTTAGGTGCTTTAAATATTGGATTTATTTGTATCCATTTATGTATGCTATAATCTCATCTCATTTAATGGTCAAACAGCAGTTGATGAGAACGCGATTAGATGAAAAGTGAGTCGGCGGTTTTGAATAAAAACAAAAAAATACTTTTCTTTATTGCCCCGATTTTAAGCTTTGGTGGCTTGTAAACTCTTCAGCCATTCGTCTTGTTCCGTTCAATTAAACCTGCAATGGAGCTTCGTTCACCATTGCGTATACGTTACACAAGTAGATGACTAGGGGTCCACAAAGAAAAATCGACCGGAGTATTCCTGAGCTCAGTAGATCTGCAAGCTTTTGGCGTCGCTGATCACGATCTTGGTGTACATACCTCCATCTTCGTGAGAATTATTTCTCGCAGAATTTCCCAAAACCTGTATACGAAGAACGTATACTAAGAGAGATATTCCTTCGAAATACAAATATTTAGAATATAATAGATGGCAAGATAGTTCGAATGACTTTTGTTATTCTAGTACAAAAGTCTTAGGAAGAAAGCTCTCTCCTTGACCACTTGTGGGGAAAAGGTATTTAGAGAGAAAGCACTTCTATATCGACTGCTGAGTGGAAGATCGACCTATCTCGGCAGCCTGTACGAAAACGCCCTATCTCAAAAAATTTTTCAAAAACATCCTATTTCAGAAGCAGCAGTCGATATGTAGTATCATATCAATCAATATCATATAGCAATGGCCGAGTGAGCAAAGCACTGGCATGCTATTCGAGATATCCTTCTTAAAATTTTTGTTAATATAATGTTTTCTCTTTTTAATTTAATTTTCTTTTAATTATTAGATTTCATTGTCTTAAAACGAAAATTATAATTTTTTAAATGTAATTTAATTTTGTAAAATGTACTTTATTAATTTTTTTTTCAACTTTTAAAAGGAGATTTTTTTTGTTTGAATTTCATCAATTTTTAGAAACGTATGTTATTATAGTCATGATAAAAATACAGTAAGGTAGAACCGCTGAGAGTCCCTTTTAAAATTCTTGACGTTTCCAAACAATTTAATTTTTAAATTTACTCACAAACTCACCCACACCTTTTCATTTTCAATCTCAAGCAACAACAATTTCGAACAATTTCAATTTTTTATTTTCCCTTTCATATGATTTTAAAATGTTGGCAAACTTCAAAAAAAAATCATGGCCGAAAAATTGAGAGAACGGTTATACCTTGCTATGTTTTTATCATGATTATAGTTTTTATTTTTTTGTGAAATATTTTTGGATTTTTAAATATATTTTTTAAGGGAAAATTTTTATATATTTTTTTATTGATTGTTCAGAAACGCTTTTTTTATGTTTTAAGTTAAATATTTTTTTTTTACAATTTAATTTTCTTTTCAGTTTCGTATTTTATTGTTTTAAAGATAGAGATATATAGTTAGACGAAAAGAAATTTTTAAATTTTGTTTAAAAGAAAATTTTTTTCCTAATTTCTTCTAATTTTTTAAAAGATTTTTCCTTATTTTCATTCAACTTCTTTATTTTTTTTTATTTGTTAGTTTCAATTAATTTGATAAATTTTTAGAAACGTATTTTATTTTATTTTAAATTTTTAATGAAATATATTTTTATTTTTCAAGCAACTTTTCTTTAAAAAGAGAAAATTTTTATTTTCATTTAATAACATTTGTAAAACGCATTTTTTTGTATTTTTTAGTTAAGAATTTTTTGCTTTTTAAACATAATTTTTTGTTTTGTTTGTTATGTCATTTTATTTAATAGATAATATTTTTTTATTTTTGATTTTATTATTTTTTTATTTTCATTTTCTTTTAGTTTTTAGATTTTATTTTAAAAATATGAAGTATACACTTTTCTAGTTTCGTTTAATTTTAAAATATATTCTTATCTATTTCTATAGGATTATTGAGCTTTGTACCACGATATTGTTATTTAAGAAAAATGAAAAAAGCAACAAAGTCTAACTTCTAATTTGAAATATTTTAAAAATATTTGCTTTATTTTCGTTTTTATTTATTACTATTATTTTTTTATTTTCCTTTTATTTTTTGGTCTTTATTGTTTTAAAAGGGAAACATATACATTAATTTAATGAAATTTTTAAAAAATCTATTGCTAAAAACGAACAGCGTTATGCTAAGACCTCCTCGTTAGGAGATGTTTCAATTACTTTTTCGAAATACAGTAAAGAGCTTTCAAGATAGTTGCTAGAATTGACAATTGTCTTATGAAAGACTTTTGTCTGGACAATAACGGCAAGCGCCGTGGATCCGCAAAAGGAGTATTTAAAGTCCACAGGACCGACTCCAAGGGGATTGGGCGGCCTATTCCAGTGGTCCAATTTAATGCAGCGCTTTCGACGGAAGATAAATAGACAGATATTAATAAAAAAAAGCACTAAATAAATAAGCGCTAGCGCTAGTGAATCTATAAATTTCAGAATAAATATTGCATGTAGGGAGTGTATGTGCGACTCGCTTGGCCATAGATGCCCTAGGCAAGCTATAATCTGACGGAAGAAAATCTATGGGGATGACTTATGGTATCATTGATGACCCATTGTGTACAATTTTATTGGAAGATGAGAAGAGTAAAAAGCATTTTTTCTGCAACTGTCCGGATATATATACTCTTGAATTATTTACATTGTTTCTAAATTTTATGATAATGAAAAAATTAAGGACTTTAAGTTAGCTGGCAATAGCAAGTCAAGCAAATTTCCACTAAAACAATTATAACTCAATTTGCTGGCAATCTCCGAGGAATTGCATTAGATAGATGGATATTTATTCAAATGGACATGCCACAAATTGCAATTTCGCATTTAGAAAAGTCCCATAGCGACGACGATTAGTAGTGAGCATACGTGGGTTTGTTGTATCTGTAATAAAAACCACGAAACTCATATATTATGTGGCATGCAACAATCCGGGCAGCAGGAGAAAATGTGCAACGTGATTACTGGACACAGTTTGGGTGGAAAAGCAAAAATATATAAATATTGTTAGTTATGAGTAATGAATTGACGAGTGGCGGAAAGCGACTGGACAGCTGACAGCGGATAAGTTAAAAGCGGATTAGCACGTGAATGCTAAGGAGGAGGAGAGAGGAGGAGAAGAGCAGAAGCTAGAGAAAACTAAGCAAAGTAAGGAACACAGATGAGGCAAGAGGAAATGGAGTGAAGTTAAGAGAAGTCAGCTTAAAAGCTTAGTGGTTGCGCTTGAGTAGTGGAAAACATGCAACAAGCGGTAACGAGCAATATGAGTTGGGCGCTTGATGAGAGTGTGGAGGAGAAAGGGTGGACTGCAAGCCACTATAGTGCGATTTGTGCACGTTGAGTGCCATGTTTTGATACATTTAGTGCAAACATTTTGAAATTACGTGGAAAAAAAATGTTGTGGCATTCGCTATGGCACAGCGATTACCAATCTAAATGTATTGCATTTGCGTGCGTTCGATAGCATGTATGTAGTTTTCCAAAAACAATGCAGGATTACAGGAATAAAAAACGGGTTGTAGTTAAAGTAGTGCGCCCCATGATGACAATCAGACAATGCAAGTGAACGAAATGACACTCCGTGACATGGTCGTCCGACAAGCGCGTGCGGCGTGAAATTTATAGTTCACAAAGTCAGTGTCGTCGGTGGAGTCATAGAGCGCGGTCACTCAAGCGGAAGTGAGATTCGCGTTAAGTATAACGCGTCACGCATAACAACTTCCGTTCGCAATAAAATTACATATTTTTTGTAGTGTAAAGAGGCGTGAGTAGACACAATGCTCCTAAATCGCTACGCGTTGCGCGTCATACACACAAGGGCGCGCTTACGTTGTGCTAACGCGTCAGCCATGGGCTCGCAGCTGGTGGCGAAGCTCTTCATTGTGATGCACCTTGTCATCGCTATCGCTGCTATCGCCATAGACAAGTCGCTACAAATTGAGCAACCCGATCAGCCGTTACTCGATCACACCCAATCACATTTCTTGCCAAATCGCTCTGGTATAGTGCAGCTCTTTGAGTGGAAGTACGCTGACATCGCGGCGGAATGTGAGCAGTTTTTGGGCCCGCGCGGTTTTGCGGGCGTGCAGGTGCGATACAATGCGACGCTTTTGAACGCTTTATTCCAAGTTTTTTAAATTTTTTTATATTTTTTTCGCAATACCACGCTGCTCTTCACTCATATGTATGTAGGTCTCACCCGTCACAGAGCATTTGTTGGTGCGCTCTGCAACTACGCCGCCACATGCATGGTGGGAACGCTATCAACCGCTCTCCTTTCAAATGGCCTCGCGTTCTGGCGGCGAGGAGGAGTTTCATCAAATGACACGCGCTTGTAATGACGCTGGCGTACGCGTCTATGTCGATGTGGTGCTCAACCATATGGCTGGCGCTTATGATGAGGAAACAGCGAGCGGTCAGCGGCTGCTTGAGGGCTTTGCCGGTTCGACGGCCAATGCGAGTTCATACGATTTTCCCACTGTGCACTTCACAAGCCGCCATTTCCATAAGCCGTGTGAGTTGTTGAATTATATGGATGCTCATGAGGTGCGTAATTGTGCGCTAAATGGCTGGCCTGACTTGAATCATAATCGGCTGGATGTGCGCGGTAATTTGACGGAGTTTCTTAATCGCTTGGTGGATATGGGTGTAGCAGGTTTTCGTGTGGACGCGGCGAAATATATTTGGCCCATTGATATTAAGGTGAGTGGTGATAGTAAATGCGTGGAATATTTAGTTGTATAAGACTTCAATAAAAACCAAATCGCTGGGAAAAAACTTCTAATACTCCATGGAAAAGAAGCTGCCACATCTTCGATCTCCATGCACGTTAAAATTTTTCTGAAACTCTGAATAGCGTGAATAGCTTAAATGATCTCCAAAAAAAGCAGACTTTCATCTGCCTATATACGATGGTATCTATATCTTTTAGCAGAAATAATGTAAGGCTTATAGTCGGCATGATATTGGTTACTCTGACCTTCAAAAGTAGAAAGGGCAGAAAACGACTCCCCCCTATTTGAAGATGAGACGGAAAGCTCTCCTCAGCTCTAGGGCCATTGAATGGCTCGGAGGCAGATACAGCCCATTTTGTTCTGTTGTTCTATCCTCATTTAAAAGGCCTCTGGCGACTTTGCAGTTCTCTCGGCAAGATAGTTTTATACCAAAGTGCATGTGACTTGTGCTCAGTGGTTAGCAGACAGGAAAATTCAGCTCGGCTGCGAGTAAATAGAAACGACCGTTCGTGTATGTCCCACCCGAGCTATTCATTGGTACGCATTTTAGCAAGGACTGTGAGGATTCTGGCAGCCGTTGCAAGATTCTTAATCTCTGTAAAGAAGTGAGTGCAACAGTTTCTTTTAGCACTTCTAAACTTTTTTACAAGTATTGTATTCAGTGAAATCATTTTTGTACATTCCCCATTCACGGCTTCTTTCAGCTTGAGTAAGGGACTACAAAACTTTACTCTAAGCTTAGTCAGGTTGTTATTCCACTTAAAAGTCAGCCTTTTGCTGAGATTGGTGACTTTTAAACAGAAATCATAGTACGAGTTACCAATAGCTTAAGCCAATCTTAGGCAGTTAAGCTAAGGCTCGACTAAGGGCCGTTTGCACCATCTCCAGTTAAGTTAGCATTTAACTAGAGGATAGCTAATCTCCAGGTACCTTGATTTGACATTCTCGTTTTCACCAAGCTCAGATTAGCCGACCTCCAGTTAATTCGATAATTGTGAATATTTTGTAGAACAATTCACAAAAACCCATTGTGAATGCTCATAAATGGGCAAACCAGCTGTGTTTTGTTTACATTTTTGACGTGCCATTGTAAAAATAAATTGGTTTTTGTGATAAGTGTGGACTTTTAAGATTTATATAGAAGATAATGGATGACAAAAAGAGAAATCGTTTGCCAAATTTTACAAGCGGCGATGAGTCCCTTCTTATCACATTGGNTAATTTTTTACCTTACGTTTGCGCCTTTTCATAGAGTCCAGCATAAGTATCTAGTACAGTTCTTAGCCGTAGCTCTAAATCTTCTGTAATGGTAGCGGTTGATGGTAGGATTCTTATTTTAAAGGGGGCATACATATAATGGAACTTTCCCTCTACATTCTGCATACCCTGGAGACTAGCTAACATCATCAAACCTCTTGGAGTAGTCTACCGGTCCTGTTATCTAAAAGATCGGTATGCTGCCTAAATTTTGGGAATTGAAAATGCCAATTTTATGAGTGTTAGTATAATCAGGCGAAGCAGACACTCGGTCAGACCACATTGGCTCCTCTGAGCAGTTATTCACTTATTAGCCACAAATTCAGCAATTAAGTTTGTTGCTGTAGTCATCAGTATAAAAGCGTATTTTACAAAATCAATGGTCGTAAGACCTTACCATAAAAAAGCCGATATAAAAGTTGATGACCAATTTCTTGAAGCTTTAATTATAATTCAAGGCCTTGTGCAGAATTTTCTTCAGATAAGTGCGGTTTACACGATTCTCTTCTGTCAAAAGTGATATATTTTGACTTGATGAATCATTTGCCGGGCTCGACAATTTTCGAATAAGCGGTGCATTCACTTCGAAAATAAGAGTTACGCAAAAGTCTCGAATCAGCAGAAACTCTTTGTCTGTAGTAAGAAGCAGATTTTTTAACTCGCATGAAGGCAGAAGTATTTATGAAGGCGGTGATTGTCTCTCAGCGAATGGTATTTAAATTCTGATTATGCAGTCTCGGCCGCAAGGATTGTTCACTGTATGTATTGGTGCCATCCGTCAGTTGTTAGAGATACCTTCTGACGTGATGAATACTCCTTAAAATTGTGGTTCGTATTAAGGCTGCGAGTGATGTGAGCGTTTAAGGTGTTAAGTGCTGTGATTGTGTTGTGCAATCTACGTACACGATTTTAATGCATAACTATGATCAGGTGGCACGTTAAGAACGATAACACACAGAATATTTATCGGGCGGTAAAAGTAAATTTTCTGGGCAGGTTACAGTAGACTTCCGGAGATTATGAGAGCGCCAATCGAAAAATTTAATGTCTGAATATATTCGACTCTCATCAGACCCGAAATTGATAGCGTCAGTGGATATATTATGCGGGGTTCTAGACTTTTGGGAGCTTCTGGCTTACTTACGGCCATTCGAACTTCACCATTGACGAAAGGAAAGTCCCCGTATGATTCAAAAAAAGTTATGGTGGATTTAAGCTGAAAAATACCTCCCTACTTACTCTGATCTTTTCCCAGCCAAAAATTTAACATAAAATGCAAAAGACTTGAAGCCTTGGAGTTTTTGTTTAACACTTTCGGGACCGTAAGTCATAATCTTTTTGTTTCTTAAGGTCGGTAAAATTTTTTTTTTAACTCAATTTCCTCAAAAAATTTTTTTTTTAGTTTCTGATCTTCGGGTGATTTTTGTTTCAGGCGAAACTCATGATAAGGCAGATGTGAGCATAAAATTAAAAAAAAAATACATATTCCTATAAAATGTTTGTTTTCCGAAAACAAATAAAAAAAATTAAGAAAACACTTCAATTTCTTCGAAATGTTATCCATAAAAATTTGCTTCCCTATACATTTTTTTCTGTTTGGATATTTATTTTTGCTTTTGGTAAAAACATTTTTTTCTAAATAAATTTTTTCCTAAACAAATTCTTACAAAATAATTATTTTCTGATAAAAATATTTGGTTTCCGAAATTCTCGTTTAAAAAATATTTTTTGAAGAATATTTTGATGAAAGCGTTTTTCTTATTATTTTTTTTTAAACATTCCTCCCAAAAAAATGTTTTCAAAAATTCATTAACTCATATTTTTTCAGAAGCTCATATTTTTTTAACTCATTGAATTTTTTTTGTTTAGTTTTGATAAAAATATTTAGTATGCATTTTCAAAATTTTATAATAAAAAGGGGACACATTATAAAAAACAGAAACAATTTGTTTATTAGCCGATAAGCCCTTTGGGAAGCATGTTTCCCGTGGTCTTGAAAAAGTATACTAAGTGCTTAGATTAAGCAACCCAAAGATGGTTTGGAGTTTTGTTCGCAACTTTATGAACGATTGTAGGTTAGTTTAGGTTACAGTGGTAGTCCCGATTAGGGGCGCACTTGGATTTTAAGGAGATTGTCCTTTGTGATACCACGGAAATCTGAACGGAGGCCAATCGTCCAAGAGAGAACCACAAAAGGGGAGAGGTGCGTCCAGCTGTTCCCCATCCGGTGACCATATTTAAGGATGCCTTTCCTTGCCAAATCATTAGCTGTAGCCCGGAATCCAAATAAGTCTGATAAAAAAAACAAAAACGTTGCGACGCCGGTTGAGAGGGACGTCAGACACTCCCTGACTACATAGTTTCGAGTGCACTATTGTAGCGTTAAGTTCTCTGATACCTCCTGGAAATTGGATTACATATATATATGCTCGTCTCAATGACCAAAAACCTTTTATTTATCATTACGATTGTCTTTTTCAGCTGCTCTTCAAGAACGTTAAATATCTCAACAGCGAGGAATCCGACTTTCCCGAGAATGCGCGTCCATTCGTGTATCAAGATGTGGTAGATTTAGGAATTGATTCTATATCGAAGTAAGTTAGATCAATTTTTCAGTAAAAGCTTCTTCTTGAATTTATTTTTTTATTTGCTGTAAAATTTCAATGAAGATTTTCGCATAGCGCAGTATATGTATAAGTATGTGGCATGCATTCATTTATCCCCAAGCACAAAATCGCATTGCATGTGTCCTTTAATCTCCACCCATTGCTGCTCTCATTTCAGAACGGAGTACTCCAGCTACGGCATAGTTACCGAGTATCTGTACGCTGCCGAATTGGCCAACATAATCAACGGTAAAGCACCGCTTAGTACGCTAATAAATTGGGGACCAGCGATGGGCTTTCTGCCACATCAGCAAGCGCTCGTCTTCGTTGATAGTCACGATGTGCAACGAGACCGCAAACTTTTAGGCGCTAATCGGCTACTCTCTTACAAACAACCAAGGAAGTACATAATAGCCACAGCATTCATGTTGGCACATCCGTATGGACGGGTTAAACGGATTATGAGCTCGTATTATTTTGCAGCGGAGCAGCCAGAACAAGGACCACCGATGGAGGAAAGTGAAGAGGAGGTGGAGGAGGAGGAGACGGATGCAGATGCTGAAGGAAATGAAGTTGAAGCAGATGGTGATGAAGCTGCTTCCACTGCCGATGTATCGCCACCACAACTGCACATACGCTCGCCAACATTTGATGCGTCCACTGGCCGCTGTGAATACGCCTCCGGTTGGGTTTGCGAGCACCGCTGGCCACCCATCGTGCATATGGTAGAGCTGGCGAATACGCTGAATGAAATAGAGGATGGTGTCATTAATTTCCAAACAGATGGTTCAAATCACATAGCCTTCTGCCGTGGTAACAAAGCATTCTTTGCGTTTAACAACGATGCACAGTTGACGTATGAAGCTATAGTGGAGACTTGTCTGCCGAGTGGTGTGTACTGTGACGTGATTAGCGGTGGTCGTGCGGAGACTGCAACCGATTGTTTGGGTAAACGTATTGTGGTCAACATGCAGGGTAAGGCGCGTATTACATTGCCAGCTGTGTTCGGCGCAGGCGAGGATGAAGCAGCAGACGGAAGTGATTATGATGAAGCGGATGCAGAGGAAAATGATGCCTATGGAATTGCTGCGGGAGCAGATGGAGAATTTGGTGTGTTGGCCGTGTATTATGGATCGAGATTAGAAGATGAAGTGCCACCAGAAAAGCAGAAGGGTGGAGATGACACAGAAGCATCACCGGCCGATGAGCTTGAAGAGAACACTGCAACCGAATTGGCAGTGGAGGATGTTGCAGACGAGTCTGAAGTGGTGGAAGAAGTAACGGAGATAATCGATGGGTCAGATGAAGATGTGTCGCCTGAAAAGTTGGAAGATGCAGTGGTAGAAAAGAGTGCTAAGCTGGAGGAGGCTGCAACTGATGCGAGTGTTGAGAATGAAGACGAGGACGTTGGGGAAGCGACTGCCGTTGAAGGCGAAGAAGAAACTAGTGCTGGTGGAGGCGAGGAAGAAGAAGTTGAAACTCAGGACGCAGCAGTGCAGACGGAGACTGGAGAAGATCCCCCAGCAGAAGAAGAACCTGCGGTAGAAGAAGAAGCTGCGGTAGAGGAACAGCCCGCGGAAGATGAGGAACCTGCCGTAGAAGAAGAACTTGCGCAAGATGAAGAACCTGCCATAGAAGAGGAACCTACTGTGGAAGAGGGCGAAGATGCTGAGGAAGTAGGCGGAGATGCAGCAGATAACGCAGAAACAGCTGAAGCTGAAGGGGAAGCAGCTAATGCTGAGAAGCCCGCAGAGTCTGTGGCCGACGAATCAGCAGCTGATGAGTCAGCGGCAGCTGACGAGCCACCAGTAGAGGGAGATGCAGCTGGTGAAGATGCTAAAGAAGAAGGAATTTTAGATGAAGCTAAGGGTGTCTTAAAGGAAATAGAAAAAGAAGTGACAGATGCCGTAAATAAAGTGAAAGATAAAGTTACGGAGCACATTGGCAAGGATGGGTCTGACATAAAAACAAGCATTGAAGCGGGTGCTGAAAATCTGGCAAATAAAACGAAGGTGGTGAGTAGTTTTCTGGATTTTACCTTGTTGTTTGAGTTTATGATTTTAAGGTTGTGCTCAAAAGCTTGGAAGCTTGCGATTGCGAAAAAAGAATGGCACCAGTCAAGGAAATACTTCAGTAATTCATATTCTGGTTAAGAAGTGCTCTAATTACCGAATTTCATAGGCGACTTATGTAGCATACCTGCAGGCACATGATTTTCTTCGCATGCGATTGGTAAAACAAATTTGGCACAGGGGAAAATTTTACCAGTCTTTAAAGTGAAGAAAACAATTTTACAATATCGGTTTGAAATGAATAGGATTAAAAAATTCCTTTTATATCAGCGATATTTTTGTACATCGTTGCCACCTGTCATTAAAATGAACAAAAAAAAAACATTAAAATACTTTTTTACAATTTTAGCATCAAAATAAAGGAATTTTATAAAGTTCAGCGACAGACTTATTTTTGAATAAATGATTATAACATAAGTAAAATACTACTGGATGGTTGTACAATTAGAGGTATTTAAAAAGCTTATCGTCGCTACCATCTCAAACTATCGAATGTGAAATGGGTACTTTTCAGGAGAGCAAAAAACTGACTGTTGTAAAAAATGTTGTTTTCATTAGGAAACGGTATGGGACTCGACACTTTGTTTAAAGCCAGTATCCTCTGCTTCTAAGAAGACTAGAAATTTGACAATTTACCTTCTTGCGTATCATTCTAAACGTATGTGCAAGGTATTGAATTGAAAAAGCAATATTAAATAGTCATTGAGGTGAGTTGATTTGAGATATAGTTAGATGAGGTTAGGAGATTTGAGGTGAGGTGAGTTGAAGAGAGGTGAGATGAGCTCTGGTGAATTTAGGTGAGCAAGGGGAGGTGAGTTGAGGTGTGATGAGGTGATTTGAAGTGAGGTGAGTTGGGGAGAGGTGAGTTGAGGTGAATTGGAATGAGTTGAGTTGTGGTGAGGTGTGACGCTGTGACTTTGAAGTGAGGTGAGTTGAGATGAGGTGAGTTAAGCTGAGTTGAGGTGAAGTGAGGTAATTAAAGCTGAAGTAAGGGTAAGCATATATCATGATATAAAAAATCCTAATCTTCAGTTTTATCTCTACCTCAGCCTCTTTATTTTCATCTCCACCTATCTCCATCCTTTTCTTTATTTTTATCTGTGCCTTAATATTCGCGTATATTTATTTTCTGATTTATTTGTCTTTGTCTTCATCTTCATCTTAATCTTCCTATTTGTATTTGTTTTTGTATTTTTCCTCGTCTTTGTGCCAGTCTTTGTCTTCGCCCTTATCCTTGTCTTGCTGTTTGTTTTAATCCTATTCTCTAGGTATAAACCAAAATGCTAAGAATGGAGAGAGAAATAGATTTTGAAGCAAACTTGTTGAAACTTGACATACGGAGAAATATTTAAAGTAAAATAAAATAATTGTTTTTTATAAATTTTTAGAAACATGGGCGTTACAACGGCTCCTTATGATAAAATGCTTGTATTTCAGTAGCCGATATAACAATCTCTTAAAAATTTTGATCTGGAAATCGGGAAATAACGACGCCAGATCCCATCCATATAACGAAATTTTAGAAAAAAATTAAAACTGCTATATTTCAGCTGGAGCTACATATATTAATCAAAATTGGCATAAGGAGTAAACTGTAACAAAATTTTGGAAAATGAGCATGGCGCTGCATACTGTTTTTCCGAAAAACTTCGGAGTTAATTGAACTTTTGGATAGAAAATAATGTGAAACACAAACCATTTAGTAAGGGGAACATATAAAGTTTAAACTAAAATTGCCTCGAAGCCCTCGAAAACCTAGAATATTTCGCTGAGCTTTCAAAAAAAACTTCACAACAACTTCACAATTTCACATTGACCTAAAATTTGTCTTTGTTAATATAACAGTATTTTCTTTACATAATTGAATTTTTTTCTGTTTTTATTTTGTAGATTATCGCAAAAGCCGGATTCAATACGAATAGCGCTACAACTTCAGAAAGGTATGAGCTTCCTTCGGCGAAATCTAAGCTTACAATCAATCCACGTTAAATAACTTAACATAATTAAATATACAACGAAATAAACTTACTAACGTATTTACTCTCCATTTCAGCATTCAATTGTGCAGCTTAACAATTTTAATCAGTTCAATTTTAATAAATCTTTACAGCACTTAGATTAGGAGGACGTAGTAAAACTATTTTCATTTCCTCGTATATTCTTTTTATTTATTTGTTTTTTCAATTTCCACTAGCAAGTAACACAAAAGAAAAGAGCAATCAAAAAATGCTAATGGTAATTGGTAGTCGGCAAATGCTGATCGTCAGATAAACACTTAAGCTAAGAAAGGGAAAATAAAATTGTTAAAAATGAAAACAGGATATAAAAATAAAAAGGAAATAGAAATCGTAAATGTTGCTTTAAAAAATATGCAAGAGAAAAAGGTTAAGTTGCGCAAAATTCCCGTGTAGTAAAATCGCTTATCGCAAGTTGACCATCTACAATGGCACACCTACAGCCTCGTCACAGCAAACAGCCGCAGAAAAGTCAGGCCATACTTTGCTGGCAAGCGCTAAATCGTGATTGCCGTAACGCTTACAAAGTTTCAATAAATTGAAAACGGAAATGAAATGTAAACCATTCAAGGCGAAACGGGCAGCCAAGTAGAGCCACCTGCAAATCGGAACTGGGCAATTCAATCCCATATAAGCGCACGAACACACACACATGCACCCAAGTTAGCTGGCTCATGAATTGAATAGCTATTTAGTTGTCGGCTCAACGTATTTGTTGTTATTGCTGGTACTGAGTAGAGGTAGCTGCATTCACAATCATTTATACACACTTATTTCACCTTTACATGCCCCGTACTCCACCCCGCCCTGCCCTTTTCGTTTAACTATCCTTTTCCACACTCTCCTCCCAAATTACTAGTTTCACTATCGTTGAATTCAATTATGCCTCTTTTCTACAACATTACCTTCAATATTAAGTAGTTACTGGCAACTAGCAACTAACAAGCACAATCAACATCAACTACTGCAACAACAACAAGAAAAACAAGTGTTGTTCCACGAAGTAAGTATGTTGTCAACAATTGTAATCTCTCTTTTCACAAGTGCCCAAGTTACTGCCCGAATGGCGTTTGTAAATGTATTTATCTCACTATTTTCCAGTTAGCCAGTAGTATTTAGTGTAGAAAAGTAGTCAGTGATGATATCACTAAACGGTAAGGACAGTGAAGGTGTTAGCTGGAATTGCAAGAGGTTCTTTATAATAAGTACGAGATATTACGGCCAGTCGGTATGTGCTTAAGGCAGTCGACTTAAACTGAAAACCACTTGCCTAAAAATAATTGAGTGGTACTTGTACCGACACTGCTGGTGCCACTCAACAGGAACGTGCATTTTTTAAGGGCCCTCAATAGGAGAGAACCTCAGGGTAATAGTTTCGAGGCACATAACTGCGGAATTTGAAGATTGCTGGTCCGTATGGCATCCTGTCTATTGTACTTAATGCAGCTGCTGATATGAATGGCGATCCTGAATATGATTTTCACTGCGTCACTTGCACTTGCTTACATACTAGTTCTAGGTCTTTTGTAAGACAATTGAAATACCCACGAAAGTTTTACAAAAAAAGCTCTCTTGCCAACTTTCATGGCGTAAACCTCTTCGGATCGAAATCACTTGACATGGTCTAAATGGAGACGTATGTATGTACGAGTATATGTTTTTGCTTGCGCTACAGTCGAGATCCGAGATTCGAATCCTCGTGTGGCGGAAATTTTTCTTTTCATTAATTAAATTTTTTTGTTAAGTTTTAATTTGATTTCTTTTAATTTTTGGATTAGTGTTAAAAATAATATATGTCTTTTTACTTTAAGTGAATTTTTAGAAACCTATTTGATGCATATTATCTCTTTTTAATTATTTTGTTTTAATTTTTTAATTTAATTTTATTAATATTTTAGAATTTTATTGTTTTGAAAACAAAAACATTTATTAATTCAATTTAATTTATAGAAACTTATTTAATTTTTCCGCATATTATATTATCCTTATTCCTATTGCCTTATTATATTTTCCTTCACACTATTTATTATTTTTCCTTTTTAACTAAATTTTTTTTTTAGTTTGTAGACTTTATTATTTTAAAACTAAAAATCGTTCTAAAAAATTTAATTAAACTTTAAAGAACTTGTTTTGTTCTATTAATTTATTTTATTTTATTTTATTTTATTTTATTTTATTTTATTTTATTTTATTTTATTTTATTTTATTTTATTTTATTTTATTTTATTTTATTTTATTAAATTTAATTTTAATTTATTTTATTTTAATTTAATTTAATTTAATTTAATTTAATTTAATTTAATTTAATTTTATTTAATTTAATTTAATTTAATTTAATTTATTTTAATTTAATTTAATTTAGTTTAATTTAATTTAATTTAATTTAATTTAATTTAATTTTATTTTATTTTATTTTATTTTATTTTATTTCATTTCATTTGTTTAAAGAACAATATTTTTTAAATTAATTTAATTTTTAGAAACTGGTTTTATTTGTTTTTTAATTTAATTTCCTTTTAATTTCTAGATTTATTGTTTTAAAAAGAAACACATAGGTACATTTTTTATTTTATTAAATCTATTTGCATTTGCGTTATATCTCGGGTTCATCTTAACGTCATTTTTAAGCTAAGAAATGGGCTTAACATTTCTATATATAAAGTGGTCAAGATCGTCCTAAAACTAACTTAGCTATTAACAGTTGAACTTTTTGAAGTTGATTTGCATAGTGAAGACCAGTAAATTTTGGATCTAAAAGTATACCATCGTAATCCTTGTTTAATACCTTATAACAATATTTGCAGAATCCAAGACATAACGATTTGAAGGAGTATATGATTTGTCAGAATCACGAAAAAATGCAAACTTTGACAAATTATATCTCCAAAGAAAAAAGCGAAAAAAATTCCTCGAACACGTGTTAGCTTATTTCATACATAGAACCCACACAAAGATTTGAAGCCAATCGAAAATGTAACACCAAATTTGGTGTCCGATATGAAAAAGAATGTCTCATATAGGACATTCAATTGGACAAACAAAAAGAAGAAAATAATCTAGTCAACGAAAATGTCACCAGTGATGGCCATTTTTGGTGCCAACTGCCCTTTGGCAATCATAAGCAGGCGGCGGATTAATAGGAAAATAAGCTAGTCAATTGCGCCCAATAAGCGTGCAACTGGTGAAACATGAAAAAATGAGAGAGAAAGAGTACATACCCTAAAGATAACAGCTGCTGAAAGTAAACCAACTTACCTTTACTTATGTATATAGCCTCTCTGGTAGTTCTTGTTAACACAGCTCCGCTGGACGCCTACCTCCAGCCTTCACCATTTATCCTCATCCAATTATCCAGACCAATTCTATGCTTTACTAACCCAATTTAAAGTGAGTTGCTGGACAAATGAATTTACTAAAGAGCTCTGCACTTGTTGCTGTTCGGATTTTGCTACACTAGATCAAGTGATTGCATTCGAAGTGCCTGTGTGTGCTGCATGCCTGGTTGTGGTGCATATGCAGGAGTTACACGCAATGCAACTAAAGAAATGCAATGTTTGCAACAAGGTTTTTTTTTGCCATACTACTACATTTGTTCGTTTTTTGTACTTTTTGTTTTGCTTCCCAACAAGCAAAATAACCTTACAGAAAGTTTTTTTTTAAGTTTTCAATTATAAACATTAAGCTTACAAAACGTTGATTTTTTGTTTATAAAACGCTTGAAAGTAAGCGTAATATAATCGAAAAGGAACATTGGTTATAAGCGTAGAAATATAAACTTTTAATAAATGTTCAAAAGAAAGCTTTTTATAAGCGTAAAAGTGTAAACTTATAATAAAGGTTCAAAAAAAGTTGTTTATAAGCGTATGAATATAAACTTACTAAAAATTAAAAAAAAAAGCTTTTTATAAACATTTTTATAACCCTTTATTTAAAGATATTTCAATAAAAACTCATACATAGATTGCTTAGCATCTAGAAACTAAAAGAAATGCGAATTTTCGGCGGACTCATCTACAGTCGCGAAAATGTAAATAGGGAATAGACATTTTAGCATACAAATTCACGATAACACACAAAAATTAAGCATAAAAAAGTTAATTATTATATCTTGTTGCGTGCTTTCAATTACAAGCGGTTATTGGCAAATTGGAAAAACGACATCGATGCAGCTATATATTCCGCTTCATCGCCGTCATTCTCATTGATGAACTTTTCTGAAAAAAATACTTTTTTAATTGAATGTCAAACAAAGAAAGGATAAGAAGAACTTATCGTTTGAAGACTCGAATGCTCCACCGATTAGCGCAGCGGGTCCTGGATTGGATTTTTTTTACCGCATTGGTTTTATTTAATTTTTTCCTTTTAATAATATATTTTAAAAAACGTAAACACGTCACTTACGATTGAAAAAATTTAAATTTACTACTTCATGTCGTTGGCATTTGCATTTCATTTATAAGTTAAGTTATTTATAAACATTCGCTCTCAAAACTTATTAAAGGTTTATTTGAAAAAACTTTTAATAAGCTTAATATTAAAAATGCTTATTTAACGCTTATTATAGCAAACTTACTTTAAGTTATTTTTAAAAACATTTACTGAAATGCTTGTTGGGTTGTAACTTCTTTCTGCAGACTCTTACACTTTCTCGAAATTGGTTTGAGTTGAAATAGAAGTGATTTCATTTGCCAACACTTGAAGTCAATTTAGCTGCACATGCGAGCGTATGCATATATATGAGTTTTTGGGTATGTATGCGCGTGAGTACGTAGGTAATAGCTCCAGCTTTTGTATGCGTAACGGAATTCAGTATAGTATTTTTAAATAAATTCTGGGCGAAATACCTTCGCTCGAAGATGTAGAACTATTGAATGGCAGCTGAAGCGTAAGTTTGTGCAATTATTTGTTGTTGTTTGTATTGTTGTTGTTATATTATAAAATCCGTAGTACACCTGCTACACTTGTAGCAACAATTCAATAAAAAAAATCAGTAGACGCACTAGCCGTTGTACGTTATTGTGGCTTACAGGTGCTGGAGCGTAATTGAAAAAATCTAGGAAATGCAAGGAATTACAAGAATAGTCAAATGGGTGGTGGAAGGTAGTAGATTGGGTAGGCCTTGTGGGCTGAGTTACTCCTTTCTCAGCATCCACACATTACACCTTGAAAGTTGAGTTAAATTTATAAGCAGCCATAGTAATTACAGCTGCAGATTTACTCACCTTTCCTTACTCCCACTACTGATCGAGTGCCACATGGATTCCCAATGAAGTGGAAGAATTTTCTTTATAAAAATAAAAAATAAGTACGAATTTTCATCTTTCCACTGTAAATCATCCCATTTACCTTTAAATTACCTGCCATCCCACTTAATGCGCATATAATGTGGTAAAATCGAATTCGGACTGAAAATGGCGATTTGAGTGCTTTACGGCGATTGCATTTCAATGCGCTACAAAGTATGCTGCACGCTTCATTATGCGTACTCGTTCAGGGTTCAGGGTTCGGCGCTCAGTGCAGCGATGCATTTTTGATGACTGTACTATACTACCTTGTTATTGCTTCAATCATTCGCAGTGGCTGATTAATGCTTCTGATTTTTGTTTGTTGTGAAATTTGCGGAAATGCGGTGGAAGAGCTTGTGGAATTCGTAAGCTGCAAAGTTTTTATTGAAATAGCGGAAGCATTTATAACGGTAAAAGCTTATCTAAATATGTAAGTATTCGTTTTTTCAATTGTTTCACACTTTCTTTGTTCAATTTAAATTCACTTATTTTGTAGGCATATCAATGGACCCCTCCACAACTAAGATCACGATGTTAGCCACTTTAGACTAAAGGAAATTATTTCATGCACTGTTCGAGAAGTGCTCATATTTATTCCTGCATGCATTTAGACTTAGGCTTAGTAGGGGAATAATATTTTAAGCAAACCCTTAATATCTTGCATTGCATACTTTTAAGCTTAGTTATTTTTAACCTATCGAATTTAGCGATTGTGCGATACCGGCACTACATTTTTGTATTGCTTAAAAAGAGGTGGATAATTAATTATGCCATGGTTAAACATTAGTCGGAATTTTAATGCTCTCACCTCCTAGTATTTTTCTGTATTAAAAAAAGATACACTGATACGAAAGCCTTACAATGTAGACTCCCTTGACAACTTTCATCGTGAAAAGCTCCTTTGATAGAAAGCACTTGTAACATTATTTTTCGCTTTTGGTAATTTTATTTTCTTTTAGTTTGTAGATTTATTATTTTAAAAAGAAAAATATTGAAAAAATTATGTTTAATACACGCGCCGGGTATTTAATGTTCTGCTCCGCACGAACTTAGACTTCTTTGCTTGTTCTTGATTAAATTTTTTTGTTCTTAAAAGAAAAACATTTTTTTTTATTTAATTTAATTAGAAGCCGTAGTTCTTTCTAAATTTCTGTAAACAAATTTATTTTTAACCGACTTTACAAAAAGGAGAAAGATTATCAATTTGTCGGAATACTTTTTTTTTTGGTGATATATGTTACAGCATAACTTTGCACCACGTTAACCGATTACCATAATTTTTGTTTTAAAGGAAAGTTGTTACCTCACATATGGTCCCGTATTAATTTAGTTTAAATCAGAACATCGGATCATGAAGAAATTAACGATAATCTTAAATTTTATATGAGAATTGAAGTCGGTTTGGTTTTTGCTTAAAAAATACTTGCTTTTAATAATTTTTAATTTTTTTGTTATATTATTGTTTACCAAATAAAATATGTATATGTTGGAATTTTAATTTAATTTAATTTTCAGAAACTAATTAGATATTTAATCTAGAATTTTGTCCTTTTTTAAATAACTTTAATACCAATTTTTTCTTTTTTAATTTAATTTTCTTAAAATTTTTAAATCTTATTGTTTTAGCAAGAAAAATAATTTTAATTTTTAGAAACTTATTTTATTTAGTATTTAATTATTTAATTAAATTTTCATTGAGTTTTAATTTTTCATTAATAAAAAACATATTTTTCTAATATCATTTAATTTTAAGAAACTTATTCTATATATTTTCCTGTAATTTTTTTTTTAAGTTTTTTATCTTATTAAAAAAAATATTTCATATAATTTTTAGAAACAATTTATTTTATTCCTTTTTTATTTTATTTATAATTTCTTTTTTCAATTATATTTTCTTTCAATTGCTAAAAATGTATTTGTTTAAATTTCATTTAATTCTTAGAAACAAATTTTTTGTTCTTTTAGTTTTTAGGTGCTATTATTTAAGTTTATATATTTTTTTAATTTCATTTAATGTTAAGGAACTATTTTCCTTATTATTATTTCTATTTTTTAATTTAATCTTCTTTTTGGATTTTATTGTTTTAAAAAGAAACATATTTTTTAATATTATTTGATTTGTAGAAATTTATTTTAAAATCATTTTTATTGAATTTTGTATTTTATTATTTTATTTATTATTCTTTTAATTCTTAAATTTTATAATTTTAAAAAGAATTTTTTAATGCCGTTTATTTTTTTGGAACGTAAATATTTCGAGCTTCTTAGTAAATGGAAATATTTTAAGTATGAGGGAGTGGTTTAGTGCGTTACAAGCACTTTCTGCAGCTAGTAGTTGCTTGCCTCAAGGTAACAATGGTTCATCATAGCTATAAGAGTACCGTTGTTATAAATACTCAATAAAAACGTTAATTTAAAAATTTGAACTTTACACGAAGATAACATAAATTCCACATATAATCCACAACTATGTACATATGAAACATGCGCACTAGCAAATTTCACAGCTGTTATTAACCCTTAGGTAGTGATACACTTCAAGGGCATTAAATACCCTAAGTGCTAAAAAGTAATTTCGCACTTGAAATTGCTTTTAGAAGCTGTTATGAAAGCAAATACCTTGGTATTTTTAACATAGATTAACATATTTGAATAATGAGAGCTGCATACATAAATATTTTCAATTATAAGAGTAAATGAATTCACACAACTGTTGCGCTTCTCGTCTGAAATTCGTTCCTTAACATTCGTGCCACAAAACTGTTGCTAGTATAAGAAAATGTGCTTTCAACATTCAACTGTTAGAAGGCAGATAAGATTCTGTTAAGTGAATTCGGCAAAGTACTACTGTATGTAACAAAACCGAAAGTTGCTAGCGATGAGAATTCAGTACGACGGCGGCAAGCGAACAAGTGGCAACGCGAAGCGGTAAAAAAACGGCGCATTGCTAGCGGTAAACAGCGCTTGTTAACGGTGTATTAAATACTCTGGCTTAGTGTTTGATTTATTCAGTGATGTGAGCGCATTAAAAGTGAAGTGTGTAATTGAAGAGTTGGCGTGAAGGTGTGCGAGAAATAAATAAATAAAAAAATACGAAAAATAAATAAAAATTAAAATACATTTTGAAAAGTAAAAATAAACTTAAAAAATAAATTGAACGAAACGCGTTTTTGAAACAATCCACACTAAAGTGCAGGCTCTTAATTTTTCTGCAACAACTTGAAAAATAAAATTATTTTTGCACCGTAACCATAATAAATATGTGATGTGCAGTAAAAGCTGTGAATGTAAGCGCTGTAGTGGCACTAAAGCAAGGCTGGTATATGCTTTGCGAGGTTAGGCGCCCAAAAGTATGCTTCGCTTTTTTCTTCCTCCAGTTTTCGCGTGGTTAGAATTCAACGTATTCTTGAGCACCCCCTTTTAATGTACTGATGCGCGCAGCAGAGCAGTTGCAAGGCTTTGAATTATTAAAAAGAAATGGTATTTTATTTTGTCTCGTCACCACAAGTTTGTGTGCGGGTGTGTGTGTGTGATAGATTCAAATACAATGCGGTGTGTGTTTAAGAACCTTAAACAATTTAAAAAATGTTTGAAAAAAGGTACGCCCCACTATCCGATGTGAAATTTATCATTCTTTAGGTTGCGCGATAAAATTAAGTGCTGATAATTTGTAAAGCTTTTTTTTAACTTTTCGTTTTCAGTCTTTTCGCGTTACAAATAAAATGAATAGAGCTCAAAAAGAGAAAAATTCCATTTTATGTATTTTCTAAAGGCGCCGAACTATTAAGTAAGCCACTCAAGTTACGTGCTCTTACTTTGCATTTGAGTGACCGCAATAACTATGCAACATTTTTTATTAATAAGTGCACATCAGCAGAAGCCGGCAGCTGCTGAACAATATTCCATCAAAGTTTTTAGGGTGAATATGCTGCTCTTGCAGTTCTCTTCAGTGCTTGCTTTACACCTCACACCCCCGCTTCACCGTCCATTTAATGTGTATTTAATAGACAGTAGTGCGCTAGTGTAGGGAAACTTGCAAATTGGGGCCATACTTTTAGGCGTTTTCATTTTATTTTGGAAATAAAAAATGCGCACACATTTTAGCATGGCATTGCCCTATAGTTGCAGTGAAAGTACTAAGTGAGAATTTGGGGCATGTTTGTAAAGTGCTTTTTGTTTTGGGGGCAAATGTAGTAGGCAAAGTGTTTGAGGCGCGGTGCGATAGTGTGATGGATATGGAATTTAAAAATAAAAAAATAGCAAAGTGATAGATTTTGCAGCCTTATTTTGCGAACTTGATAAATTCAACATTTTTATACAATGATTTGAAAATTTTTTATTATTTAAGGGCTGTTTGCGGCTCTTAAGAAAAACAAAGAATTCATTTCAAATGACGCACAAGTAATGGAAAGAAATTTCCTTATGTCAACATTTTTTAAATCAGGGGCTCTATTCTGTATCACTAACAAATTCTTGTCACAGTTTTAATTTCGGAAAAATAAATGAAAAAGTTTACATTTTTCAGTAAAAAAATGTTTATCACCGATACAGAATTGGGCTACAGGTTTTAGCTCTATAAAAATTTTCGTATATTTTTCTTCAAGAATATGTACAGCAAAGCAAAGTACTTTTTCAAGCCACAGGAACAATACAAAATATTTCTTATGGCATTTCTTGAGAGCTGCAAACAGCCCTTTCTAACGACAAATTTCCACTAGGCATTGAAATGACAAAAAACGGCAGGCATTTAAAAAATGTCATGTGGAAATGCATTAAATGACAATTTTTTAAAGTAATGACCAAGTTTTTTGGTTAAATTTCTGCCATTTAATGCTTAATAGAAATCTAGCATGAATTACTGGGATTCGATCGCAGAAATCAAAAGCTGATACAGAATGCGAAGGAAGATGTTACTTTTTAAAATTTCTTTACAAATAACAACAACAACAAAATTTGGACGTGTTTGATCTCTCAGACGGTATGAGTTGGATAGAAATGAGCTAAAAAATCACAGAAAATTATAAAAATAATAACTGATTTCTTCGATAGCAATTGCAGGTATTCATTTCGAATATGAAAAATATCCTATTTTGATTTTAATTCATTACTATTGGTACTGACATTAGGCAAGTGGGTGACAAGAAGTTTTGAAATTGACAGGATTATCTACTGTTCAAAAAATCTAAACATATTTATAATAAAATTGTATCATGGAATTGAATGCAGTTTTCTCCGATATATTTCTAGCGAACTAACTAAAAATATAGAAAGTAAAAAGTAGAGAGTTGCCACCTGTTCGAAAATTGCAATTTAATTAAATTAATAAGATAAAGTAAATATTCCAATATGGTTGATAAAAGAAAGATGTTTAAGAAGACTTACAACCGAAAATATATTTGTGCAAAATTGTCACTTGTTTGAAAATTTTAATTTAATTTTATTGACAAGATGAAATTAATATTGCAATATGGGCATCAAACAGAAGCGGTTCGAGAAAGTTTTTAGCCGAAAATAATTTTGAGGAGGGTTGCCACCTGTTTGAAATTTTTTTTCAATTTAATTTATTAAATAAATGCAATATTAAAATACGGGTATCAAACAACACAAAAATACTTTAAGGTGCATTGGAGCACGCTGGGTATTTCCTAGTTTATTCAATAAAAAAGTGATGCCTCGGTAATACAAAAACTTTCCTGACTGCTTTTGCTACGTATGTGCTCAATAAAAACCGCAGAAGCAAAGAAGCCGTTTTACAGGATTTTTCACATTATTTTACCCAACTTTTCAACAAAAGATAAAATCCATCTCACGAATTGTATTTCTATTAATGCGTTTTTTTTTTGTTTGAAAATAATTTAATTTTTTTTGCAATTTTTGTGTCTCTTAAACACGTCAAGAGTTTTTTTCTCAAAATCTAGGGAAATTCTGTAAATTTATTGGTAAGCACTGTCTATAATATGACGTCGGTTCCGTCTTTAAGTTCAAATGCGTCCAAACTTTTTCGAACCGTGTAGTTTATCAAGCAAATACGGAATCTGGCTGTTAGTGTATAGTTGAAAACTTATGAAACCTATTTAACGACGTTTAATGAAAAGCGGAACTACCGAAGTCTACAGTCATATTAAATCGAGGTGAAAAAAATCGCCGGAATAGTAGTAGTTTCGGGGAGTTTTTTCATCATACATACTTCGCCTAAGAGTATCCCGCTAAAAATAGATTTTATTTAAAAAATCTGGAAACATGATATTAAAATTCTTGGGCATCGTGTGAGTGTCATGCATTTTCTGCCACACAAAGTATGCTCCACAAAATTTTTATATGGAAGAAAATGCGCAACACCGTCATAAAGATATTTAAAAGAAACTTGCACTTTTACTAAAATTCAATGGGCTACAAAACTGCATATCCAAAATTTTTCTTAAAATATTATTAACTTATGCACTGCATGCCATTTTACTAGCACACAAATTTGTTGACATATTTAAAAGTCTTTATAAAATTTTTAATTCGGATTTACAACTGGAATATGGTACACTTTTATAAAAAAAATTAATGAATATTAAACAAACAAAGGAAAACTATACGTACTATAAGTTCTGCGTCGTCTGAGTTATGTAAGTCCTGTTTATTGCCAATTTTGTAAGGTGTTTCTTACATAAAGCATTCGTGATCAGATAGCAACTTTAAGATGAAGTAGTTAATATTTCCAAGGCTTCTGTGGCCTTAGGTTTCAAAATTTTCGTTCTTTCTTGCAGCCGGATCCCAGCATTCGCTAGTTACATGTCCCGCATATGACTCGATTTGCCTGATTACACATTAGGGGTATTCTCTGAGTCTTGCAAAGCCCTTGCACGGTGCACGGTTTGCAAAGGTGTCCCATACGAAAACCGGTTTTTACCGTGCAATCCGTGCAATCTGTGCACCATGCAAGGGCTTTGCAAGACTCAGAGAATACCCCTATTGCATCTGTCACTTTTCACTGTGGCATACATTTTGGCGTCACTGCTTTCCATTCAGAGAATTTTGGCGACGAAAATTTTGCGTAGCGATTGTCCGAATTCCACTGCATCTGCTCGGTGTTTAATATCTCGTTGTCTGAAATAAGATCTAAATTGTTTATTGTATAGCATCTTTGCTCTCGTGCCTTTATATTGAATCTTTCCTCTGGCGCTTCTATAATGTTGGCCGGACGCATATTTTTAAATCCATTTTTGACATCTAAGGTTGGCTATGTGTTGTTGGGATTGGCCTGCTTGTTGTATCGCTCGTTATGGTACTTCGATTGCTCCAACTCCTTACTTTCCAGGCCCAAATTCACTCCGTAAGAATGGAATTCCTCGGCATTCTCAATAGCCAACATAAGGCGAGATTTTAACATTCTTTCTGTAAGTTTTCCTGCTGTATCGAGCATCCATAAAAGTCGATATTCTGAGGGGGATAACACTAACAAACATAATTTTGGGCTGTGAAGTACGGATATCTACACTATTTTTCGAGATCAGATCATTTTCACAAGATATTTTAATTTTAAGTTTGCTTTGCATTGCCATGTGCTAGTATGTACTGGTTCGACATGGCGTATGAGTAAAATTATGTGCGGTTTATATTTCAAACAAAAAATTATTACACATATTAATTTGCCCATTCAGAATTTATTTATTATCCAACGATTTTCATCGTTAGTAGCTTGTTTTTTTTGCAAAGAACAGACTTTAATCCATGAGGAAAAAAATACAAAAAAAATGTTATTTTTTAGTTTGGAATTAAAAAAATTGTTATTTTTTTAAGTTTTTCCTTGTTGAAGTTTGAATTTTTTTCATAAGAATTAAAAAACAGAATACAGATCCATAATCTACCACCCAATATTAAGCTTACCTGCTTCGGCGTTTTTTTGTCATTGAAAACAAGTTTCTCACTGATTGGGAATAAGTCAGTCAAAATAGAAGCACAAGCTTATTATTTGAAAAAAATGTTCGATTCCACAAAGGTTCGAAAATTAAATATGTGTTTGGCTACTTCAAAAAAAAAAGAAGAAAATGGTTTAAAGAGGTTTTTATTTTTGCGTTTTTTAAGGAGTCAAGAAGTTTTTTCAAATTTTTCATTGACTTCGAAAGTATCTGATACTTTAATTAATTCCAAAATTCGTAAGCTATGCGACAGTATAAATTCTTTGCATACTTTATGACCACAAATTTTTCTCATGATGACTGCAGATAAAATAGAAATAAATTAGAATTTATTTATTTTAGGAGGTAAAATAGTAGGTATGTATGTATATATGTTGACATGTATATATGCTTGTAAAATATTTATGTACATAAATTGCTTCTGCAGAAATGAAATTGGAAACTTAACGATATCAGTTTTTTTTTTCTTCCATTAAAGCAACTGAAATTTTGTGAATTTTCCTAAGATTGATTAAATTGAACGCTTGTAGGCTTAAAAAAGATTTTGTTTACTTTTAGAAACAAAATTTATATGCAGAATAAGAAGTCTAAAAATATGTGCTGTATATCTATAACCAACTGTATAAAAATGTATTTATTTTTATTATAGTTAAGTGGTTCGTATTTTTAGGCACCGTTTTCTGTATAAATTTCCGCAGTCTACTAATGAATGATCGTAGTAGAGGCACCGTACCAATTAGACCGAGCTTATAGAAATCAAAATAGAATTTAAAATAACATTCTACTTTCAACCTTTTTACTATGCCCTATGCTCATGCTTTCAGTCTGAAGTATGTTCAACTGTTTGGTTTTCAGAGAAATCGCACAAGAACCACAAGCGACTATTGAATGCCCAAAGTACCTCACAAAAATTTCAGCATGCCCACAAATAATTCAAATTTTTGAGCGGCTCCCCTAGTCCATTCTATGAAACTGGACTTACGGAACTGTGTAGGTTAATCTTTGAAGTGCAGCACATTCACTCAGTCGGTTTTTTGCTTCTGCTTCGTATCTCTAAACAACAGGTGCGTGGATCATATTCTTGTTACTTCAGCTAATATATCCAAGAGGAGTCATAAGTATGAACATATTTCAGTATCTCAAAGAGTTTGCAACACTGCAGTCATCGCGTATGGATCTAGAAAACGCGATTTTCGAAGTAAATATGTGAGTGGCTATACCAAATTTTGATCTCAAAAACCACTAAGCCAACAACAGATGTGCCTAAAAATATGCAATGTCCTTGCTAGAGCCTTTACCTCTGCCTCATTTATCAAAGTTCATGTAGCACTTCTTAAGAGCTTTCATGTTGCATATTTTTGGGTACAGTTTTAGAATGAAATTTCTGAAAACCCAAATACAGCGTTCTTGCTTGCAGAAGTCCACTCCGTCAGAACGATTCTGAAAACTACTACGCTAAATTTACGTATCCAAAAATGTTCAAGTAAAATGCAACGGCACCTAAAAGCATGCTACATCAAATTACATTTATTTTTTCGAAAATTTACATAATGATACTAAAGAACTTAATCAATTATTTGGTTGCTGCTCCGATACAATCAAATAGTTTTATGGAGTTATATGTATTTCACTTTGAATACGCCAAAATATTGGTATTGAAGTGTTGCATAATATTTGAAGAAAATTATTTTAGTAAGTTTTTTCAGTCTTGTAAAGTTCAAATTTTCGCTCTAAACTAGCACTAAGACACCATTCTGGCCCAGCGTAGCGCTCCTTTAGAAACGAGAAAATTTGGTGTTGTTCATAACTTCTTAGTACAGATACATACAAAGCTCAATGGGATTAGAAAATTTGATATTCTCTTCCGGCACTTATGTGGGCGCATTTCTAGAACTTAACGGTAGTAAATCTGCAGTTTTAGTTTTCCACCAGCACGACAGATTTTTTCTTAACACATCAGTTTTAGTTATTGACATATTGATTTTTGTTTAAATATTTATAAAAAATTTTGTATTGTAAATTAATTTGTTTTTATGATTTTATGAACTATAAAAATACATACCCAAACATTTTTTTGAAATTCGTATTAAAAAGTTCGGAATTTTGATGAACAATTTTCTAAAATTTGTAAAAAATGTTCAAAGTTTTTATTTTTATGGTTTTGGTTAAAGCATGGTTAATAGTTTTGATAGAAAAATCACAAAAAAGTTTTAACTTGAAAAAAATTGTAAATATTAAAAAAAAAATCCACATTGGACATTTGTTTGTGTTACTCTACGTATGGGTATTCAACCAAAGAAATACGTCAGCAAAATTATCAATATATTTACATACATATATAATTTTTTTATCACAATTTTTTTTTTTGGAATACATCCCATGAAATTCTTCAAGGATATTGAAGTAGAGAAATTACGAAACAAAATTTTCGAAATTTCTGTCAGAGCTTGTTATAAGTTTAAATGAGTTGTATTCATAAAACCGGGTGACAGTAAATTTTACACACAAAAAAATGTTATTTTGTTCGCGAAAATAGAAGACAAAAATTTTAGATTTTCTCAGGCATCAGAATTTTTTATAAAAGGACTTCAAAATTTCCAACGGATGATTAACAAAAAAAATGTTTAAAAAAGTTTAGAGCAATGTTGAATGACAATATGGATATTCAATAAAGAACATAATTCTATAAAATTAAAAATTGTATCCTTAATAATCTTTTAAAATGTTCAATATATTTTTTGTTATAATTATACATTTAGAACTAATACGCACGCGACAACATCCTGAGTTTTCGTCTTTCAAACTTTATTAGGTTAAAAAACTAAAATTAATTAAAAGGCCATTTCCAATTTCTATTCGTCGTTTTGAACCAAAAATCTATATTTTCGTTAAATTCTGCAGAATTTTCTGTTTAATTTGGTACCCATATAGTTATTCTACATTGCATTGAATTTTAAAAATAATTTTTTGAATTAATTACATATTTTAAATTTAAAAGTCTTTTCAAAAAAGTCCAGACGACGGACAGAAAAACTAACCCATAGCTCCGTGAGTATATTGACTGCTTCGTATGTTTTGAAATGTTTTGGACTTTGTCGCGCGATGTAATTTATTATGTTCAAAACTAAAACCACTGCCGAATTTGGTTTGATACAAAATCGAAATATCATTGCATATTTTTAGGTAGCACCCACAACTAATGAGATAAAGCATTGCAGAGCATTAAAATACTTCAAAATAATCATTGCAAAGTTTGTCGTATTTAAATTTTTAATCATATTTCGGGTTCTGCTTAAATAGAAAAATTATTAGCTACTTTTAGGCGCACCATTAACTGTAATTCGCAACCAAAATACCAGCAGGCTGATTTTAACAAAAAAAAAAAAACAACAACTAGATCACTTTCTAGCTCTATTTCCAACTCTCGAATAGTTTAGCAAATCCTTACAATGAACGCTTTTTGCCTATTTAGAGGCGCATTGAATTTATCAGCTACAAAGTTTTAATTCCGAGTGACCCAATAAATAAATAAATGCATGCATAGACAATCAATAAATAAGACATAAAAAATGTAGTGAATAAAGTGGAAATTGAATGAGAAAAAAAAAACACCAAAAAAGAGAACAGAAAACAAATTGCAACAAATTGTAAAATGCGCTCAAACGCAGTGGATCAGATAAGCGAGTGAAGCGATTGTCGATTGTCGAAAGCAAACACGTCCATTTCCGGTTGATTTATTGCATGGGCACGCAACGCGTTAACATTGTTCTTTAATTTTCGTAAAAGACTGCTATCGACGTAATCGAGTGTGCTTCGGTTTTTTTTTGGTTGTTTTTTTTTCGTTCACGTTCCAACAGTCCTTTTTAGCAAGTTGTGTTTTTTTTTGCTCTTTCACGGCTGCGCTTAGCTTTTTCGGTGTTTTTCACATTCCGCTGGAAAAGTGCAAACTTGTGTTGTTATTGTAAGGCAAACAAAAAAACAACAATATTCAAATCAATTCGTCGATTCGTTCGTTCAACCAAATAACCCACCAACCCAGCAAGTAATCAATCGATCAAACCATCAACCAACCAATTCATTTCAAACTGTTGTGGCGCGCTGACTTGCATGTATTTGTGAGTACATACATACATATGTATGTATGTTTATACATAAGAAGGGGTAGATGTATTGCTTGCTTGCATTTGGGCGCGCCACTGAAAAATTGATTGCAATTTAGTTAATTGAAATTTACACTGTGGCATTAAAATTAAATGTGTGATTTTTGGGCGTTCGCCGAGAGAGCAGAGTATTGGCAAATGGAAAATGGCATTTGTTGCCTGATTCATTGACTGCAAAAGGTAAGTTTCCAAATGGCAATTTACTAAATTGGAAATGGAAAAGTTTGTAAAAAAAAGAGTAATACCAACATCTGTTTAGTAAAGCTCTTAAAATTTTACTGTGATAAATTTTTAGTCTCTAAATTTTTCCGCTGTTTTAAATAAATTTTAGCAATTTATTTCTACATTTTGATACATCCTGATTTATATAGACACATGTGCATACATATGTTCTGTAGCTACAGTTGCCGGATAAATGAGCAATCCATGAGAGTGTTTGATATCACTACATATTCTTCGCATGTGTGTACAATAGGTTGGTCCAAAAATACATCTGAAAATAAATTTTTTGGAGTTTTTCCGCTGCCACCCACCAGAACCGCATTTTCACAAGCTTTTATTAAGTTTAACCTGTGTGCAATCAAATATTGCATTAAATTTATAACCAACTTCTTAATTGGCAGAGAACTGAAACTTCAAACTTAGCTCAGACCTGATGGTAATGCAAATATAAATATGAGTTAATAATTTAGGTGGTGCAGGCGTCAAGGAATTAAAAAAAAAACATATTTATGAACCGATACGGTTACATGAAAATAATAGATTAGGTTAGGTTTAGGTGGCTGCTTATAAGGGACTCACTTAGACCGCGGAAGTTGGTCCTCTTGATACCACTGCAAACAGTAACTGCTAGGGCGAGAATCGCTGAGTACCGAGGATGAAGTTTCGCAGGCGGCCATTTTTAATCCCGGAGAGCTCCTTCGGGCTTATCAGAGAGTATGAACCCAAGCTGCAATCTAGAAAAACTTGGGTACTGTAGCAGGATATTCTGACAGCTGCGACAATTGTGGTCCGATAAGATATTTAATCTCACTGCATTAACCCCGATGGGACAATGTCCTACTAGTACACCCACTACAATCGAATCCGGCCGAAGCCTAGATCCCTAGACCATCCCCGGCCTAACCTCAGCCAGAAAGAGGTCGCTGTAGCCCAAGCCCTAGTTTTCTTCCAGCGTTCGCTGAGTCGACCAGAGGCCCATCTCATCAAGAAAAGTCCTCAAGACAATAGAAATTCCACCATGTTGATAATTCCTCAAGTATGGCCTGTCACTCAAAGAAGTCTGACAAAGTAATATTTCGACGCTATCGAAAGCGTATTAAGGTATTCCTCCAACAAGCTTGAGGCGTACCGTAAGTGAGCCCAGGGCTCTGATTTCCGCCCGGCTGTCTGAGTATACCGCCTTTACCACCATCGCGTCTAGCAGCAGACAATCGACTGCTTCCTTAATAACAGCAACCTCCACCTGAAACACACTTCAGTGGAAGCCTAAATTTAAGATTGGAGAAACCCCTTTCACCTACCCTTCCATCAAGCTTCGTCCCATCAGCATAAAAGTTCACCGGTGCCTCCCCGTAGCCACCTCCTGCAATCTAACTGGTGTCAAGAGTGCGAAGCCCCCAATAATACTAGAGTGTCTAGACCTCGAGTCCGCCAGCAATCGCCGCCCTTGCTGCAGCCCTTTACCCTGTGATGTCGACAGGCTCTATGTTAAGCTTATCCCCTGATTCCAATGAGGGCAGTTCGTTGCACTTGCTCCAGCCCATTGCAGTTTTATAGCCCAATAAATTTAAGTGGGTAAAAGTGAAAATTTTAAGACACTAGGAAATCGGATTGATTTTAATTAATTTTTTTGGTTGACGGTGCTAGGCATTTTCTTCTATATAAAAGGAACTATCCTAAGATAAAGCGAAAGTGTTTTGAACCCCTACTTGACTTCTTTTTGAATAACTAATCTTTTATATGGACCACACTAAAAGCTGTTTTTCATACAAAATTTCGTACGAGTATCACCCGTGACAGGGAATTTCGGATTTTTTTTTTTATAATAAAGCAATAATTTATGTTGTGTTTTTTTTTTTGTTTGCATTCGTGGTCCTTTGCTTTATGATAAAAAATCACACAGAAAAGTGAAATAAATTTGCTGAGTTTCCAAAACTGGAATTTTTTTCGTATTTTGTAATAACTCATATAGTAGTGAATTAAGTGTAGCTTTATCAAAATGTAGAACATTTTTTCTGTACAAAATTTCTCACCCGTGACGGTGGAATCACCCATAGGGAAAATAAATTTTTTTCGTAAAATTGCTATAAAGTCATTGAGAATAAATATTTTATGATCGAGTGTGAACATTTCTCCTGGAAAATTTTCAAAAAATAAAGATATATGCCTATTTCACTTTAAAATTCTCTCTCTCGTCTGCTGGATCGTACTTTTTTTGAAAACCCAGAAAATTTTAACAAATTAGCGCTTATTTTCCAGTAAAGCCGTCGAAATAAATTGCCCAATGTGATATTCCCTAAATAAATCTTAAATCGTGCATAAAATTATGGGACGCCCTTTATATGTTCGTATGAACGGTTTAGCTTAATTGGAGTACATGGCGTATACGCAACATCAGCTCAGTCATGCTAGAAAATTCAAACGCCTACCTTTGTCTATTAGGAGCTGCCCCTTATCACATGTTAATATTAGCGGAAAATAATGTGTGAATAAATAACAAAAGAAAAAAAAACGCTCAGAAAAGAAAAAGCGTGCGTATAAGCAAATATACTATACCTACCGAGATACTGTGTATGTATGTTGAAGTATACATATGTATATGCCTGTCTGCTTAACTTTTTTCGTTTTGGTTTTATCTTATCACTACCATCAGCCTATTTGGTTTCAACGCTTACTTTCTCTTTCCCTTTTTGTTTACATTAACAAATGTTTATCCGCGTTTGCTCGTCCTTGTAGACCATAAATTTTTGCTGCTAAATTTAATTTGACATTAACATCCGTTTATTGTAATAATAAGTGACACATAGGCAAACAAATACATATATTGCTATATATGGAATCATGTTATTTGCGCTAATAATTAAATTAGTTAACAAAAGCGGCAAATAAAAGCAGATAAACTGTTTGTTTTTGCTGGGAATTTCACGCAAAGAATGGGCTTGCCGGACTATTTAGTGGCATATTTCTAGGAGAGCGGCACCGGGCCGTTGTTGTATTTATCACTACATTTCGCTGTTAAATCTGGCTTGCAATAGACTCGACCAAATGATTAATATAGGTACATATATTTCTCTTACTTATGTATGTCAGCTTATGTACTGTGCATGTGAATTTGTTTGTCGGTAATTGACATTAATGCTATCAGTTATATAACGTTTAATATAAACTGTCAGCTGTTCATACGTATTTGGAATCAAATGCAAAGATACTCAGGCAATTGCGGTAAACTGACTTTTTAGTACTTATTCCCAACATACATTTTGGTGTGTAAGCGACTACTAACAACTTTTTAAATTTTTAAAAATTTTGTAAATAAATAGGTTAATGAAAGGAAAATAATTTGGTGGTTAGAAAACAAAAATACTCCAGGACTCTAGTTTGGTGAAATACCAAGCCTACTATACTAAATGGCGGAAATCGCAGAGTAAGACATTCATTACTTTACCAAAGAGTAACGCAAAGAGTCCGCTAATAATCAACGAAATAGCTAATCGATGAATAAAAAAAGGCGGCATTTTCATGAAATGAGAATGAGAATTTTTGCATCACGGATAACACCGTTCGAGAGTAAATTTTACACACAAAAAAAAATCAGTAATTCGCAAAACCATGGACCAAATTTAGAAAACCTTGTTTTTAGTTTTTCAGTCTGGCGTCAGGATTTTTTTTTTAATTTGAAAAATACAATTACTTCAATTATTTAAAAAATTTAATGCGTTTAAAAAAATAGTATAGCCATCTAATTAAAGAGAAAATGAAAACATGGCAACTCTAGACGGTTCTGTAATTTTTATATCGTTCTCTCATTCTCTTGCTATTCGCAGGGTTGCCCCGTTTGAAGTTTTCTGGATGAAGAATCTCCTATGTCTTTCGTGGAACATTCTGGCATTCTGTATTTTTGTTCGCTTTGAATACATAGCGTGATCCCCAGAATATTACACATTACTAGTTGCGTTCGCCAACTTTTCTGGGCTAAAACCTGTAAAACTGTCAAAAGGCAAAAGAAGCCAGAAAACCGAGTACAGGAACGCTTTCTGGTAAATTCCTGCAAATTCTTGCAACTTCTTGCGAGTTAGGGAACGCAACTAATATGTATATGAGCATACATTAAAAATAAAGGCTCATCAAAGCTAAAAAAATAGTAACACTTGTAGGGATGCTAAAATAACACAAAAGAAAAACGCTGATACTCGTAAACTTAATTTTTGCTCTTGGATTACTGATCTGTATATCGTTTCATTTTAAAATGTATTGCGAATGAAAAAAAACAAAAATTTTTTTTTTGAACGACCAAACACGTCAACTTAATTTGTGTCGTAGATTACGAATCTGAAATCAGTTTTTCTGTATCAAGTCATTTTAACAGGATATTTAATTTTTATGAAAAAAATCAACTTTAATTGGGAAAAAATAAAAAAATAACAGATTTTTTTTAAGTTGTTTCATTTACATTAAAGCCGGTTCTTCTACAAAAATTCAACCTACTAGCGAAGAAAATCGATGGATAAATAAACAAAAGGTGTGAAAAGAAAATGCGTCACAATTTTTTGTCTGAAATATAAGCAGGAAATAATGTTAC